TTCCGTCCGGAAAGCCCTGTGGGCAAAAGCATACGGCCAACAAGCACAACAAAACCCCGCATTGACTACCTACTGGCCCCGTGTCCGGCGCTCTGAACGCGCCCGTTCCTGTGTGCATCCCATCGTCTTCTGATGAATCCGAGTGCATTGCCTCGCCCACGCCGTGCGGTCCGAGCCCCCCGACATCATCTGTTACGCGGCCTGCCGCTCCGCTAGTGGTTGGCTCTTTGGCTCCTCCGGACCCTCGAGCACGGTCCCGTTCTCCGCGCCGGACACGCCTTGGATTTTCCTTTTCTTTTGTACCACCTCGCGTCCCGCTGGGACGCCGCATTGGATGCCCCGCTCCACCGACACAGCACACATCGTCTTGCCCGCCTCCTGCCTCGGAGACTGTGACACAAACCTTGCCGGAACCTGTGTCTCACCCTGCACCTTGCAAGCACCGTCTCTTTCTTGACTTGTTTTCCGGCTCCTCGGCGCCGCTCTCTCGTGCAGTCGCTGCCCTTGGTCTGGACCGCATTTCCCCCATTGATTGTCTCCATGGTGAGCATGTTGACTTGCTTGACCCCGACACTCAAACCTCCTTGCGCCGGCTCTGCTCCAGTGGTTTGATTGCTGTGGCTGCTGCGGCTCCTCCTTGTTCTAGCTTCAGCCGTTCCCGCCTCCGTCCAGGTGGCCCGCCGGCGGTGCGCACACCCGCACACCCTTCTGGTATTCCTCGGCCTTCCCCACGCCAACAAGCCGAATTGGATTCCTCAGACCGGTTGCACACATTCACCCGGGAGTTGCTCACGCTCGTCATGTTGGCTGGAGGTATTGCCATCTTAGAAAACCCGGCCTCCAGCTTACTCTGGCTCGTCCCGGGCTGCCGATCCTGGATCCGCCACCACTGCATGCATTCGGTTGAAGTTGCCGCTTGCAGCCACGCCTTGGACTACCGCAAAAGCTGGCTTTTCGTGTCCAACTTTTCGGATCTGAGCTCTCTCGCGTCTGTGTGCCAACATCCTCCCGGCTCTCATGCGATCACGTCCGGACGCCGGACTGCCTCCGGTGCTTTCCTCACACGGGATACCGCCTGTTATCCCTCCTCACTGTGCTCTGCGCTTGCTGACCTTTTCAAGCCGTTGCTCTCGTCACACACCGGCGAGATTCCTTTTCGTTCCTGGCATTCGCTTCTTCCTGCTACACTTTTCTGGCCCATTCCGGCGAATCGTGTGGAAGATGGTGCCGGCACTTGTTCATCTGCCTCTTGGTCTGTTCCCAGAGGTGCTGATTGCTTCGGCTCCCTCCGGAAAGCCTGGTGTGCTCGCATTCTTTCAGGGGACTTCCTGTCCAAGTTCCAAGCCAAGTTGTCCTCCGGATCCAAGGCCCCTCCGCTGTCGGACCCAGAATTGGCCCCGTTCCTCGAGGACCTTCGATCCTTCCTTCGGCTGTCCGCCCCGGATTTTAACACGCTTTTGTCCATCCCGCCGGGACAACCTTTCCGCCTCTTTCTATTGGAAGCGCTGTTGTCTGTTTTCAAAGATCCGGACACCTCCTTTGTGGACTTGCTCACTGAGGGCGTCCCCCTGGGCGTTGATTCCGAGATGCCTTCCTGTCCGACCCTTTTTCCCCCGGCCGGACAGTCCGCTCCCACTATGGACTTGACACATTGCTCCTCTTCTTGGGGCTCCGCTTTGTCGGATCAAGCATCCGTGGATAGCCTTCTCTCCGAAGAGATTTCAGAAGGGTGGGTGCGTGAAGTTCCCGGTGGACTGGACGAGCTTACAGCCCGTTACCAGCAGACTGCTGTTGGGAAGCTGGGCTTGGTGAAATCCCCCGGCCGGCCGGATCGACTGGTCGTCGATAGCAGTGTTTCTGGTGTGACCGAACACACATCACTTCCCAACAAGTCTGCAAATCCGTCCATCTCCGGTCTTCGCCAGTGCCTTCCGCCGGAGCACGCCATAGAATGGCTCATCGCGTTAATTTTGGACGTCAGCAAAGCCCACCGCCGGATCAAAATCCGTGACTCCGACCGTGGCCTTTTGTGTTTCTTTCACCGGAACCGGCTGTACCAATGCTTAACGCTTAACTTTGGCGCACGCGCCTCCGGCTTCTACTGGTCCCGGATGGCCGGCTTACTGACCCGTCTACTTCACCGCCTGGTCTTTGTCAAGCATTGCCTGCTGATATATGTTGACGATTTGATTGCTCTGCTTTCCGGCCCGTCCGGCCCGGTGTGGGCAGCACTGATGTGCATCATGTTGCTCATTCTCCGCGTTCCGATGAGCTGGCATAAGGCCTACTTGGGCCCCCGGCCAACGTGGATTGGCTGGTCTATCTGCCTCCACTCCCTTTCTGCCACCATGGAAGCTCCTAAGCTTGCCCGGCTGCGGGACCTCCTGGCCAAAATCCGGGGGTCAGATTCCGTCCCGCTCCATCTTCTCCGCAAACTCACCGGCAAGCTCCTGTGGGTCTGCTCCCTGTTTCGACCTTTCCGTCCCAGTTTGGCTCCCCTGTATTCCGACCAGGGCAAGCCTCCTGTCGTACATGTTGCTCTGAGTCCGGCGAAATGGGCTTCGTTCCGCTCCAAGCTTGACTCACACCTTGTTCTGCAGTCTGACGTGGGTCTCGCATCCTGTCCGAAGTTATGCACACTGATTTCTGTCTCGGGTCGTGAGGTATCCTCACTTTCCCAAGTCCCGGTGTCCTTTCCTGGCGAACGCCGCACCTGGATTTCCGTGCGTATGCCACCTGATTCCGACCGGAAGCTTTCCAAGGAATCTTTGGCGGTGCTGGACATGTGGCACGCTTGCCTCGCCGATGCTGCCCCTACGTTCCCGCTGCCCCTGGCTCGTGAATTCCCCTGCCAGGCTTTCGCGGACGCCTGCGCCGATGCACAGCATGCCGGCATCGGTGGTTTCGTCACGCTTCCTTCCGGCAAGACTGCCTGGTTTCAACACCGGTTTTCCGCTTCGGAGCTCGCTGCCTTATTCCCCTGGTTCCCGGTTGGCACTTCTCCGCAAGCCTGCATTGCTGCTTGGGAACTTCTCGGACAGATCGCTCTCCTTTGGGTGATTGGTCTCTTGATTCCGGTTTCCCTTCACCCAATCCACGTTGTCACCCGCTGTGATAATTCCCCTTCCGACTCTGCTTCGTGGAAAGGACTCTCCACTGCCCGGGGAATTTGTTCCCTCCTTCCGGCCTATTTTGCCTGGCAGCGTGCATTTTGCATCTCTACTTATATTGACCATGTTCCGGGTTTCCAGAACACTGTTGCCGATGGTCTTAGCCGAGGTGCTGACCCGACCACCTTTGGACTCCGACCTTGTGACCGGGTGGATATTCCGTGGGCTCTCATCTCTCGGCCTCCTCGGCCTTCATACCATCCGCCGAGTGCCCTGAACCTGTCCCTTTTTCCGGCTATGGACTTCTAAATGTGGCTGGGTTTCCCCCGGTTCGGGTAGTCCCCACCTCAAGGGACTAACTAGTTTGGCCGTTAACCCAGCCGCTTTGTTCTCCGGTCCCGGGACTATCCTCTGGATCTGCCCGGGCACCGAATATACATTCCGTAGCTCGTCCGGTTGCCCGGCTCGCGGATCGGAAGATCCGCGAGCCGGGCCACAGACCGAGCTGCCTTGAGCCAACCGTGAAAAAGGTGATGCATCCGTGAAATCCGCACTTCATGTTATTCCGTACCGCAGAGACGTAACGGACTAGTGCTTCCGGATAAACGGGGATTCGAATGTTCGTGGTTTGTTTATTCCGGAAGCATCGCAACGGCAAGTCGTACCGCAGCCGTTCGACTTAAGCTGTCCGTCCGTGCCACCTCTGCCGGTACGGTTCAGCTAGTGAAAGTTTCCCGCCACCGTCCCCTTATCACCTCCGTTCGGTGGTCCATGCATACTTTCTGGACTTTCTGTGTTTTTCAGCTGGATTTCCGTCTGCAACTTCCGTAGGCCGTTAACCCAGCCGCTTTGTTCTCCGGTCCCGGGACTATCCTCTGGATCTGCCCGGGCACCGAATATACATTCCGTAGCTCGTCCGGTTGCCCGGCTCCGGAAGATCCGCGAGCCGGGCCACAGACCGAGCTGCCTTGAGCCAACCGTGAAAAAGGTGATGCATCCGTGAAATCCGCACTTCATGTTATTCCGTACCGCAGAGACGTAACGGACTAGTGCTTCCGGATAAACCCTAGCGTTTTCAGCTGTGCAGCCCAGTCACCCGAAGAACCTTACTGCTTTTTGACGTGCTTGCGCTCGAAAGTGCTGCAAGCTACGCGAGTTTCAGGCGCAGCTAATGCCTTCGCAGGCTGGTGCGTGAGCCGGAGGGACTGGCGAAGCCGGTGCCTCCCGGGAACGAGGGTTTAGGGCACCATTAGCGGATCAGAGAGGTGACCGCGAGTCCATTGCAAGACGACCCGGACTTAAACATCAATGTCGGGGGTCACCTGGTCTGCAGGACACCTCTCTCCATGAGTTTGTCCTCCTGCATCTTTGGACCCTCCGTGTGGCTAATTCGTCAAGCTGGGTAGTTTCGAGAAAAACTCCAAGTCCATATCCACGGCCTTCCTGCAAGGCATCCCAACACAAGCGTTGCCCTCCTGCTGCGAGCCTCAACAGTCATCACAGGATATAAAGCGGCACCTTCCGTGGCACCTGGCGATTGAGACTCACAAACTCTGCAATGCTCCGGTGCATCGGAACTACCTCAGACCTTGGAGCGCAAAGGTGCTCATAGAGCTCATGGCCGGACGGCCCCGATGTGCCGTGTGAACGAAGCGAACCGTGCAATGAGCTCTGCCTTGAACGGCCCGACTCATGGTAGCAGGTCGTGTGCAACGAAGGCGCAAAAATGCGTGCTTGCTTTGATTTTCAAGAGTTACGTCGTGCCTCCGTTGCTCCGAGGCCCTTTGCCTGCGGTTCCTGCGGCTTGCAGCCGCAGCGGCAAGAGAGCAAAAACGTCTGCGAGCGATTGAGGCAACATTGGACGAGTTCGTCACCTGCGGACAATTGCAGGAAGGCTGCATGCCCATCCCACTCCTTGCTGAACATGGCCTGCCACCAGAGGACCTGCAGTAAAGAACATCGCCGCTTCTGCCCATTTTCAACGCCGAAGATACTTGAGCGGCGTAGGCGTAGGCTTAATGACAGCTGCAATTGCGAGCTTTCAAGACGCGAAGTTGATTCTCTTGCCTCTGGAGGACTGGGCCTTCGTTCCCTTCGCTGTGCGTACCTCCTTTGCGGTGCGATGGGATTCTTTGACCCGTCACAGCAGAGTCTTAAATTGGAAGTTCAGGGTATAAAGGCGTTGAACTTTGCAGCTTCACTGACTGCAACATCAGGATTCATTGGAGCCAGAGTGGTTGCGACAGCATCACCACTGTTTCGGGTCTGATTCCTCCGTGAGTCGTCGAAGGCGTTGCAATCCTGCTTGACTGCCGTTGAGGCTTTTGCTCGATAAGACAATCTCACTCTTACACAGCTCATGGCACATGGCATTTGTCATCCCGGCATGAATCTAGCCCTGTGTCTTGCAAGCCAGAGTCGTGCTCAGACTGAAAGTTGGCATAGTCGCCGTAGTAGCCGAGTAGCCTTGGAGATGGAGCAAGTCGCTTCAGTCGCTTCCTACTCTTCCTTGGCCTTGAAGCGGCCCGGGCCCGGGCCTGGGCCTGGGCCTGGCATCGGCGCGAGCCGTGCGAGTCGTCGCCTGCCCAAAGACGGCCTGCAGGCCTGGGGTGCGGGGCCGGCGGGGGAAAGACTAGGTAAGACTAGGTAAGACGAGTGACCACTGTACTTCAGAGTCAAAACCCTGGAAAGGCTAAGCCGAGCTTCCAGCAGGCTGCGGTGCTGGTAGCTGCGACAGCGGCGGTACAGAAGGCAGCTTCTGCCTTGTCAGAGGTGGACAAGATCTAGCATTCGTCAAAGCCTTGCTTGGCCTTGCCAGTCCCGGCGGCTTCGTGCTGTGGCTGCTCCACTGGAGGTCCATCGATTGGCGAGAGAAGAGCTGAAGTGACACCTTTGCGGCACTTTCACCACACCATCATGCACTGCCGAGCATGTTGCACGGAATCCGGGGGGCGGCCAGCACCACGGGCCCGCATCATGAGCATCATCCGCTTTCCGTTTCTCCGCCCATAGACCCTCCTCCTCCGGCTTTGGAAGACGCGAAGAGACCCGGGGCCGGCACATTCGGGATGCAAGGGGTGATGTGTAGGGCCCGTGATGTTTGGGAGATTGGTCTAAGAGTTCGCGCAAAGCTTTGCGCCAGGCACCGCCAGCTCCTTCTGCTGAGCACGAAGGCAAAGAGACTCGCGCGCATGAGGGTAAGGAGCTTCCAGGAGCTTCGCAGTGGATTCTGCTTCCGACGGAGGCGTGGATGACCAGAGCCTGGCATCCAAGGCCATTGGCTTACGTTGGGGATCAGCGTTGCACGTTGCAGCTCCTTGAGGTCAGGGGCGATTTCCCGGCTCTCAGCACCGAAGCCTATCCGGGAGTGCCCTGCTTAGCGCATGTTTCTTCAGCAGGATGCCGAACACGGTGCGTCTTGGATCGGAGCGGTCATGGTCTGGTGAGTCTCTAAGAACCTGAGGTGCCCCTTATCTACTTGGATTCTGGGGCCGGGCTCCAATTCAGATACGATCTCTCCGCATTCTGCTGCAAAAGCATGCAAGCTCCGCGCAGAAACTGGCTTGACCTCAATAGCGTAGCACGGCATGCGACGAAGGCCACATCTCAGAAGCCGACGTGCGTCTTGAAGGCACTGACAGAGTACTACGCAGCTCGGCTTTCGCTCGGCTTTCAGCGGTGATGATGCCCGGAGTGTGGCTGGAAGTGAACGCGCACTTTTGCATTTGGCATTCGCCCATGTTCATGTGCCGGGTATTCCATGGGATTGTTACTTTGAGGAGCACTCTGCCAACGTCCACCGCGGTGCCTACGCTCTGGCCGAACGCGCCACCGAGGTGCGAACCCTCTATATCCCAAATCTCTCGACTGCACGAAGATCAGGTGACATCGGATGCAGACCTTGTAAGCTCTTCCAACGAGGGCTGCCTCCTCTTCACACGCTGTTTCAGGCCTTCGAGCACGCCAGGAGCTCCGTGGCCACTCTGATCGGGGCCAAAGGCTCACAGGAGCCGCTTCGGCTCCCACAGTTGGAACCGGCTATGAAAACTTGCGTAAGCGTCTGTGTGATCTTTGGGAATTTGTAGTGCGGCGATGCCGACTGAAGCTGTTTGAGTCTCTGTAGTCTAAGGATCGTTTTCACAAGCGGTGCGACAGATGCCATCAACCTGGTTGCCGAAAGCTGGGGCAGCCGAAACCTGGGTCCCGGAGACGAGGTTCTGATCACGGCCCCGTGGCAGACGGCTAGGCTAGGCTTAAGGAATCAGTAGACTCTCGATGTCGTGACAGACATGTATGACGATGCATGAGCACTCGTCACTACTTACAAGCTGGGATTTGATCATTCAGTCCTGCACACGATGCCTTCTGCCTTGGTCGACGATGAAATCTTGGCGCACAAGTCCACAGAAAGCGTCCCATGGTCACTTAGGTTATGGAGCATCACTCCAACATTGTGCCGTGGCAGTTGCTAGGATGCATGGCATCGCAACATGTGCTGACAGGTTAGGTCAATCGACATTGACCTTTTGCTTGTTTCGTGCTGCGGATGCTCAGTATTCTGTTTGCCTTTAAAATCGTCTTAGCTGTGGTTGGCATTTGGTGCTCACTGGCAGCGCACATGGCATAAAAGTTGGCTGTCAGGGTGCCCACATAGCCATCACCCATATCACAGTATGTGCTTCACAACTCACAAATTCTACTGATTGGTTGAAGTAAGAGTCCAGATTCCAGACAGCATCTCTTTGTGCTTTTCGGGGTTCGTTGAAAGGGCTTCGTTGGCATACCTCGTGCGAACAGTGCATGCCGAGCACAAGGGGACAGCATTTTCTCGGTCGCAGTGAATCCCATCCCAACATCTGCGCACCACTCGTGATTCCTTTTCCTTGTTAAGCTGTTAGGCCGGAAGCCACACCACCATCATCATCACCACCGTGCTAAACCCTCAATTCTGACAGGCCGACCTGAAAGGAGTTCGGTGTCGCGAGCCCTGAGGTGTGGAACCCTAAGCCCCAAAATGAGTACGGGGTTGCAATCCGTGACTAGGTATCGATTTGGGGCAATTCTTAATCTCATTGTTTAGCAGTACAGAGCATATAGAGCCTTGGTTATAAGCAACTTTGGGGACACTGGAAATCGACGCCTAGCTGAAGACTAAACCCACGTGTGACGGTCGCTCGCTCACCGTCCGTCGCGTCAGCACAGTCAGCATGTCACTGAGGCTTGCAACGCAGAGAACAGGAGCGACCTTGAAACATGTTGGGGTGACCGAGGAGGCTGGGTGACGGCATTTGCAAAAGTATTGAAGTTGTTACCGGCTTTCAAGGGCATCCTTGACATGGAAGAGTTCCACCGTCTCCTGAGCCCGCGGACGAAGCAACCTGGCTTGCACTCGTTGCACTGTGCTTATACCACTTACGGACCACTTACTTGACGAACCCATCCCGCTGCAGGATGGTGGCCTTCGTCCATATCTCAAATACGCTGGGCTGCATCAACCCAGACACTTCGATGCAACTCATTTCACTATGTGTTAGAGTCACACTGTGTTAAATAACTTGTAGGACAAGCAGCTCTCTCGCGAAGCATGACAGGTAAAAGAGATCGCAGAAGCGGCGCATGCAGTGGGTGCGAAGGCTCGGTTTTTGTATGAGTTTCCCCAGGCTTCCGGGAAGCTTGAGGGAAATGCTGCTGCATTTTCTTTGCGCCGTTTGCAGGTTCTCCTGGATGCTTGTCAGTCGGTTCCACATCTAAAAATTGAAGCTTGGCTTAGACAGACGCTGCGGACACTGTATTGTGCTTCGTGGTCCTGTTCCGTTGGCATCCAAGCTACAGTCGTTTATCCTCCCGCACTCCAGGATGTGCAAGACCTTGGCATTGACTTCCTGGTTGCCTCCAGCCCTTTGCTCACTTTCGTGCAGCAGAGCATGTCCTCTACTTTGGTGGCAGGTTTTCTGTGTTCCTATCAAAAAGCTGTCCTGTTGGACATCTGTTTGCATGGTTCACAGAGGCCACAAAATGTACGGCCCCACTGGAGTCGGATTTTTGTGGGGCCGGCCGGAGATTCTCGAGGCCTCTGTCCCAAGTGTCAAGAGCTGCAGATGTTCCTTACCCTGTTGTCGATAGATGAGCATCAGAATCGTTGTTACAGGCCATGCCTCCCTGGAAGGGAGGAGGGGAGATGATCAAGGAGGTTCACATGGACCGCCGCCGAGTGAAGACTTCCGTAGGTACTCACGTGGCTGCTGGTCGGTGGTTGCAAAGAAGATGGGTTAGTGAGTCCTCCCTGCACGAGCAACAGGACGAGTCCTTCTACGCCGATGTGCCGGCGCGCTTCGAGGCCACTGTACTTGCACGAGTGCGGAAAGAAGTGTCACATCGCTTGTACCGCTCGTCGTCTCTCTCTCTCTCTCTCCATCTTCTGGTCTCTGTTGCTATCTCCCATTCTCAGTCTCAGAGTCTCACTCTCGTTTCACTTCGTGCCGAGGCAGGAACCCCGCCCATTGCGCAGGCAGTTGGCTTGGGCCCGCGCCTCGAAGTCTTCTGCAGTTGTGCCTTGGGCCCGCCGCGCTCAAGACGAGACAAAAAGCAGGCGTTGCATGCGACTACTTGCTTGAGCTGGGAATGGACCAAGTGGAGGCCGAACACAAGGCTTTGTTTGGATGCCAAGACAAGCCGCGACTCTGCAAGATTCAGTCATGAAGGCTTACGAGCAATTCTTGGCACGGTACTTGTGGGAGGCTGGGTTATGGTGGCATATGGAAGCCAAGCCAAGTACATGCTGTGCCAGTCGCTCTCAGCCATTCCGGGTCTGCGGCTCTATGGGCCTCCGGCGCTGGTCTCAGCCGGCAGGCGGCACGGAGCGATTAGCTATGCTTGGCAACCTCTGTGAGGCATCGGCTGGACCGCGTGCAGCTCTGGTGGCCTTCAATGACACGCCGCTTTGCTTGGACGGCAGCGGTTGTGTATGTCAGACGCCTTGAAGCTCTACCGAGGGAGCCGGATATCTACCCACAGGAGAAAGGGGAGCGGGGCCTTGGGGCCTTGGGGGATCGTCAGGCGCAGTCTCGGAGCAGAGCCTGCAGGATGTTGCCGGAGTCTTGGACGCCGACGGCGTGGCCATCCGTGCAGGGCACCACTGTGCACAGCCACTGCACAGGCTCGGGATGAGCAGTATGTTCATATACATATACACATGTTACGTGTATCTTTGTGGATGTTTGTGTTGTCACTCCTCTGTGACAGGGCTCTGGAGGCGACGTATGGATCCGCAAGGGTAAGCTGTGCGTTCTACAACACGACGGAGGAGATCGACAAGCGTCCCGTCCTGCATGCAGAGCGACAGTTCACAGCCGTGGTAGTGTAAGCAGACTTGAGAGACGCTCCCGCTCACATTCGCTCTCCTAGGTTTGTGCGAGCCCTACGGGAGGCTTTGGAGACGGTGAGGCCTAGTCAATGCTCATCACGCGTTGAATGAAAAAGGAGTAACGCGACCTGTGCCCCAGAACGCCTGTCAGGGACGGCGAGGGCTGCGTCTTTGATCCGGATGACCCCGAATCCTGCAACTGTTCCAGCGGGAGGACCGCCACTGCCAGCAAATCAGGTCTATAGCTCTCAAGCCAAGCTCATCTAGGGTACTTCGTAGGATGACCAAAACACGCAGTTCAAGCTTGTGCACTGTGGAGCAAGACTTTGACTAGTGTGGGGTAGAGCAGCTATAGTCGTCGATTCGATGTCTCGCATAGGATGCGATCCTGACGTGGACGGCCTCTTCTTTCAAAGCTTCCTTTGAAGCGGAAATGGACGAGCGGCATGGAGATGACGGGTATCATTACAGGTCGTGAACAGAGCAGCCCAAGCACACCGCCATGCCCAGCTCTGAAGCAATGACTTCAATGTGTAGTTTGTTCCCCGGAGCTCTAAAATTGAGCGCAACTTCGGACTTTGTGCGGCTGCAACTGTTGCAGACCCCTCGGCCTCTACTCGGTGCGATCGTATCTGCCTCTCGAGTCCCAACAAGGCAGCGAGAGTACGGTGCCGGCAGAGCCAACTCGGAAAACTTTTTAAGATCTGCGCGGTCGGCAGGCACGACGTTTGACCCGCCTAAGCAATGAAAGCACAGAAGCAAGATCTCTCCGCAGTCTAGTTGTGGACAACGCGCGGGCACGCTGTCGATGCTGACGCTCTGCTCAGACATGATTAGACTTGATGGCTGACACGTTCGGGTGCAAGCTTTTGCCTTTGCATTTCCGGATAGTTGTCCTGATGCTGTTCTTGGAGCCGAAGTAGGTCCAGCCACCAGCATTGTGCTGTCACCTGCACAGCAATGCAACGTGCCCCGACTTTCGCACTCGGTGAGCCTTGTCAGGGGCACAAAGCCGCGCACTTCGCACTTGATCTGACGAGTCGTGCTTTTGGCGAGCGGTGCAGCGGCTTCGGCCTGGCCAGGCGTATGCGCAGCCTCGACGGCCCCGCGAGGCGCCGAGGGGCGAGGCCTCTCGCGCGAGGCTTCTCGGGCGAAAGGCGGGGACGACGCGCCTTCCGCGCTCCGCAGGTCTTGGCTCCGCCGCAAGCGCTTCCAGACACGAGGTCCAAGGCGAGGCATGGCGAGGCGGAGTGGGACGGACACCGGTCGTCGCGTCGTCGTGTTAGGCCTACTCCGATCCTCCAGAGCCAGGCAGGAGATCGGGCCCCGGTCCCTTGGCCGGGGTTGGGGGAGCGGACGGTGCGGACTCTGAGAGGTCTGAAAGCGGACCCCTCGGCCGGCGAGCTCCGAAGTCCAAGACTCGCGAAGGCGCGCGGTGAGACGCATGGACCTGTCGTCGCCGTTGCAAAGGCCCGGAGCCTGCCGCGCCAGCTTCACAAGGTGGGGTAGGATCTCAAGGGGAGGCTAAGGCCGGGCAGAGCTGAGGCCTTCAGGGCCCTCCAGGCCCGGCCTGGACAGGGCCACTGGAACTCATGGAGGTGAAGGAGGAGCCGCCCGGCCTGCGCTGCAAGAGATTGTAAGTCAGTTTGAGATCACGCTCTTATTTCTTCTGTTGGAGTCGGTTTTCGGTAGGAGATTTGCAGTTGTCTTTTGTCGCATCGAGGAGCTGGAGGGCAAGGGTCCAGCAACCTCAAGGAAAGCACCCATGCCGCATTGCTGCAAGCATTTCCCGCAGCAAGAGTCAGCAAGAATACCATTCTTCTCACAGGCCAGCACCTCCTGCCCCTGGCGGAGTAGGACCAGGCTCATCTCATCTCCATGCCCAGCTCCACAAGCCGCTTTCAACCATGTCTACAGCCTCCTGCAGCTACGCATGTCGAGCAACCGTTTTCGGATCAGCACAAACTGTGTTTTCTGAGAAGGCGAAGACCGCCAGAGTCCGACGCCGGCGAAAGTCATACCTGCCAAGCCACAGCCTGACATCTTCGCTTGCGAGCTCTGCGGCAAGATGCAAGATGATGCGAGTGAAGAGTCCTCGTAGTGTAGCCAGTAGCACCGTGCAGCGCGAGGGATGAGCGTATGGCAGAGGCGTGCGCTTTGACATGTTTCTTCGAGGTATGGCGCACCTCTCCCGGCTCCGCCGGCAGCACCGCCTGAGCCTGGATTTCGGAAGGCTGCCAGCCCTGTGCCACAGCCGCGCCCGCTGGCACCTGGTGCACTGCCCCTCTCCTTGCAGAGCACGGGACCAGCGAGTAGCCCGGCCGCGGCCGCCTCCGTCGTGGCGCCCAAAGCCACCAGCTTCGCCAAGCAAAGAGCAATCCCAGGCCCGGTTTTCTGGGGCCTCTTCAGTGTGTTTGTGCTGCAGCTCGCTTTGCTTTCAGGACACCGCCCTGAGCTGCGTCCCCGGCCCGAGCCTCAATTGCACATTTACTGCCGCCATCAGGTTGCCTTGTGCCCTCCCGAAACACAAGATTTTTGGGGTGTTCGGTATGTTGAGTCACTTTCGTTTGTCATTTCAGGTGTTTTCTCTCTCTCTCTCTCTCTCGCTCTCTCTCTCTCTCTCTCTCTTTCTCTCTCTCTCTCTCTCTCTCTCTCTCTCTACGACGTGACCACTATCCATTAACTGCATTGATGTACATTTCTGGTCAGTGGTACGCGATCCGTGGTTGTTACTCGTAACAACATGGTTGCAACACCCCCTTTTCTGAAGGGCCCTCATGGTCTCTCCCTGATCTCCACAGGTTGCCAGTGAAGCCAGGCCAGGGAACCCATTCTCGGTCGAACGGCTTTTGCTTCCATGAGTTGCGTTCTTCTTGCAGGGATGATGGAACCCAAGCTCGAGAGCGCGGAAAGAGAAAGCGCCTGGCCGGAGCCAAAGCCTAACCACTCCACGTGGATGCTTGGGTGGGCTGCGGTTGTTGTCGACTGCATCTCTGCGCCTCTGAGGCAGCCTTCTTTCGGGGTGGCTGAGCTGCTGCCAGGTAGGAGTAGCCGGAGTTCATGTTGCGCATGATGCGACGAGACGACCTACGACAGTTCCTCAGGTTCGTTGTCGGTCAAGACCCAATCGGACGAGCTTTGGGAGTCTGATCAGCATCTTGGCTTCTCTGGGCCCAACGCTGGATCGAGTACAACGCAGAAGCATCTGTGGTCTATCTCTTGGAGTTGAGAGCCTTCGGCAATGATCGTCGGCCACAAGCTTGTTGCAGAGTAGTGCTGGTGAAGCCGAGTTTAGAGCTGCTATAGGTTGGCTGGCCACACTGTAGTTCTAGGAACTTTGCGATGCGAGCTATCTTTTTCATCAGGATGAGTCTTCGCGAGAGGTCTAAGTAGGCTGAATCCTTGATGAGGAACTCTCAACGAAGTCGGCATCTCGGTGTACAGCTGTCCGAACATCATGTCAGTCGCTTCTGTCTGTCTTTGTTCATGAGTGGGCGCCGCTGTACATGTATGCCGTGCTTATTCTCCAGATCCTGATTTATGCAGGCGATGTGGTGAAAAGGCCCAGCCACGCCCATGTGTGACTGTGTTGGTGATTTGTTCGCTGGTACGAATAGCTGCATGGCGACTACTGTAACGGCATGTAAAGGCACTGTAACGGGGCTCAAGTTTGTGCCACAATTTGCCAGAAGGACTTGTGCAGACACGGACACGATTGACTCCGGGAGGTCAGAGCATGCTGACCCACGAAGGCTGTGTCACTTTGTAACTTTGCGTTGCTGTCCAGGCCGCCGCCATCGCAGGACCTGTGATGTTATCTTATGGTTCAGTCTTGGATTCAGTCTGGACACGCACTCGCCTTTTGTTATTTGTCTCTGTGTCCTGGAGTGGCAACGGTGTCGTCATAATCCAGAACATTCACGAACCAGGAACACCGGACCTCAGTGTCTGCTATTTCGCGCGAGCCAAGTCAAAACCCACTGCCGCTGTCCCGCCACGTCTTTGCTTCAATGGGTGATCGCATCCGCGTCATGCGGACATTTCTGCCACAGCAACATCTGACACCGGCTGGCGACAAATCGCAGGGACCACAGACTGTAGCCCTTGCAGACCACAGGAACTCGGAGTTTCTTGCAACAGGCACGGGGACCCAGCCACGCGCAGGCACACGCATGCCCACGCACGCACGAGGAAGCGAGCATCTGACATCACGAACGGTAGGCAGTAGGGAATATCTCTGAGCCATCCCTCCGACATTTTACTCACTCGAAGTACTTTTGCGTCCGACGAACAAAGCCGAACTCAGTGGGACAGAGAGAAAGAACACAGACAGGTAGAGCCCCTTTCAAGCACCGAACTGGCAAGTCAGGCCTTGGCCACAGTAACCCATTGCCAGCCCATTGCCAACTTGCGCCTCTGAGATATCTGAGATAGAGAGCATGTGCTGCAGGAGACCGGCCGCCAACCGATGGTGATTCGACCGCGCTTGTGGTAGCCAGAAAAGCAGTGTAATTCGCAAGGGCCAGAAGTAGCATCGGGAATGGGAGTTCTGGAGAACGCAGGCCGCGCGAGCCTGCGCTTGAAAATCAGAAAATCTATGTGCAACTCTCAGCTGCGGCTTGAGCATCTAAAAACCATCAGCCGGCGGACAGAGACGCGGCAACTGCAATTGTTGTTTCCTTACACGTTTCGCAAATTCTACCGAAATCACAGGACATCAAGATGTTGTGTTACAATACAAGTTCTACGCTAATCGCAGCGTCATGATAAGTATCAAGGGCTTCACGATCGCTACGACAAGGATCTGTCATATTGCAAGCATCATTTGCCCGGCTTTGGGTTCTTTCTGTCGCTTCAAACGCGCTGTGGCTGTGTGAGCAATGGCGTAAAGCTGCTCTATGGAGGACAACAACGACAGAGTCCGCAAAGCTTCTGTTGATGGTATTCTGCGTTTAGTCAATCGCTGTGACTTCGCTGCTGGGTTCCATCAAGGAGATGGATGTGAAGATCATGCTTAGAGCGCCGGGCACTTTGCAGGGCGTACCGTAGCAGGCCAGCGCGAAGAAGAGTTTCACGGGCATCCGCGCAGGGTGGAGCTGGGTGAGCAGGGACGACGAGCTCTGACCTCAGACCAGTTCTGAGGCATGTCGGGTGGCTGCTGGCAGAACTTCTCTCAGATCACAGCTCCGAATCCGTGGGTGGGAGCGATTGTGGTTGATGCTGATGGCAACGTGCTTGGCGAGGGCTTCCACAAGTGCCACTGGCTCGGAGCTTCAATCTTTGCACTTCGTCCGTGCCTCTCAGTTGCGGCCACAGTGCGTATCGCTGGGGTGCCGTCGCGTCGAAAAGCGGTTCTCGCGAGAGAGGTTCTTCATGTCTCAGCTTGCCAGGGGCCCTGGCTGCCCGCATGCGGAGGTGGAAGCTTTTCGGGATGCAGAGGCGGGCCTTCAATGTGCGCACAGGAACCTTAGAAACGCGAGTTGTGAAGTAAAGGCCAATGGTGTCACGGACTTCTCTGAGACAACTATTTACAGCACGCTGGAACCCTGTCATCGCGGCCCGGGCAAGCCGGAGTCTTGACCGTCTTTCGCACATGGTGTACTTGTGGATGCGTGGCATCACTGCCAAGGCGCACCGGGCCCTGCGACGAGTTGGTGGTCTCGAAGGGCGTGAAAAGATGTGTGCAGCACTGAGGAATAAGCGGACAAGTCAGCTCCTCACCTCCGTGTTCACCTTCTCGTCACAGGTCATAGGTCATGTTGACCCGGACGAGAACTTTGGCGGTGCTGGTGTGAAGTTTATTCGAGATGCTGGGATCCAGGCGGCATTTGTCTTGTATTCGGGCAGCATGCCTCCACTGCTGATACTAGCTTTTCCCGGACGCGACAGGTAGATGTTGGCATTGCGGAGGAACTCAGACCATCTGAGACTGAGGGTGCGACATTCAGGGCTCGAGCTGGCTCAGAGCCAACCCCCCGAAAGAAGAACGACACAAGTTTGAGTCCTGAAGTTCTTGAGACTCGTTTGCAGGAGCCAGTTCGCCGTTCCTTCCGGAGTTACTTACACCACCGTCGGACAGCAAGGCTCGCATGATGGCCGTGATGGGTATCATTGTAGGATCCCGCGTGGGCACATGCAGGCCGTATGTTGTCCTGAAGATTGCAACCAGCTTGGATGGCCGAGTGGTCAGCACCTCCATTTTGCATCGGATGATATTTGGCATGGCAGCAGTTGCTTTCGCATCATGTTCTCGTTTCAGCCGGCCAGAGCTCAAGCTTCAGGCATGTGCAGACAAAACCTCCCAGTGGATCACCCAGGCAGAGCGGCACAACCGAACTCTGCACAGAGGAGGGATGCGATTAGTGGCGTAGTGTCTTGCATTATCCCGAGAAACAATGATTCCCGTTGTCAGGCACCGGCAAGACAGGATGCACACCGGCTTCGTGCCGAGTCGCAAGCAGTGCTTGTTGGTCGGGTGGCCCGGAATGTGCAGGGCTCATCAGAGGTGCAATGAACTTTTTGGGCCAGGGATGAATGGGGCACGACGCGCCTTTAGCATGCCCGAACCGACAACAAGCATCCTTTGCCGTTTTGCAGGAATGCTAGCAGCGCAAAGGGAATCCTGTGCAATGTGTCAGAAGAGCCAAGTCTGCTTCGAACAGGCAGCGGCACGGCTCTTGCTGACAGGCCCTGCTCTGTGAAGTGTAGTCCGTCTGCTCTGCATTGATCCCTTCGTTCTCTCTTTCGGACTGATCTGCACCGCTCAGGCCGAGTCTCACTGTTCGCTTGGACGGAGAGCCGGCCCCTGCCAAGCCACCTCTGCGCAGGGCTCCTAAGCTGCTGCTATCTTTGCAGACTCGAACAAGAGCTGATTCGAGCGGATCTTTCTCCGTACAAGTATGTTCCGCAGCCTTGGTCTGCGACGATCAGGTGTGGTCCTGGACTCGAAAGGCCAAGTGACCGACGGTCCACTGATGGAGACCTCCACTGCGCCTACACTCATCTTCACGAGCAGAGGGCCCTGTACGCCAATTTCAGGGCCACAGACAGGGATTCGGACTAGGTGATATGGATAGTCGTAGTTTGCGTTAAGGCCATGAGCGCTGCAGCGAGATGGCGAAGGAGAGGCCAGTGCCTGCGCCCATCGAAAAGCGACCGACATGTTACTGTTGTTCTGCGCACATGTTGTGATCCCGCTGCTGTTCATTTTGGACGCATGTAGTAGCTTAGCCTAACTGCACAAAGACACTGACGACAGAGGACGGCCATTCACCCCAAAAGGGCGCACTCGTGACTTACGCAGGGCAATACTGCTGTGGGGCCTTAACAATCGCAGACAGCAGCACTGACCAGAGATCTAAACGTTCTGGGCCATGGCAGTCTTCAACTTGGGCAGTCTGGCTGTGTGCGGAGCAAGCATTGCTGTCCTACTGCCTCTGATTTCCAAGTTGTCTGCCCCTTTTCCCCCTCGTCGGTCAAAGCGGCTAGGCGATCCAACGTATGACCTAGAGAAGATCGATGCTCCTGCAGCGACCGGAGCGAAACTCCGCATCGTGGCCTGGGCCCTGGCTGACAGTCCAGTGGCACCGCTGCTGCGAAGGTTCCTGATCAACCAAAACGGCGCGGACGAACTGCAAGACCTTGCTTTACAAGTCGTCGACGAGGGCAAAAGCACCGTGGCCTACACGCCGATGCACCGCCTCACCACCGAAGAATGGAAGCGCCACGAGGCAGCAGCATTGGGTGCCGGTAGTGTCAAGACCTTCTTACAGGAGGGCTTTGATGCTCAACCGCCTGCGCCGGGAGTGTATGTTACGGTTGAAGACTACGCCAAAGCGTACAAGAGCGGTGCGTGGACACCGACCTCAGCCATGGAGCGTCTGCTGCAAGCCATACGCAAGCTGCCAGACGAGTATCGGGTCTTTGTCACTGTGCGCGAGGAGGACGTCCGAAAGCAGGCTCAGGAGTCCGAGCGGCGGATCCTCAAAGGTAGGGCTTGCAGAGAGGGCAGGGCAAGGCTCTTCCATTCAGAGGTCCTGCAACCCTCAGAAGATACAAGCATCAGCAAGCTTAGAGAAAGAGAAAGCCAGGGAGAGAGAGATCGCAAGGTGTGGTTTGGTTGTGGAGTCGAGGCGGGGATAGGAAATTGAGGCCGGGTTAAAGGTCTATGTAGCGTGACTTCTGTTGAAGTTTCTGCCGACTGGTGCTGGACGTACTCTACCTGGGCAGGGCGCTGGGGTTCCTGTGCCTTAGACCGACGGCAAGCAAGCGACGCGGGAGCGAGAGAGAAAGAGAGAGACAGAGTCGAGCTCCCCGAAACCTCTCACACCACGAACGGGGGGAAAGGCCTGGCACTTAGTTCTGCATGTTTGACTTGTTTATTTGTTGCTTCCGAAGGCCTGACCCCCACAGCATAGAAGATCAACGCGACATCGGGGAAGGGCTGTCGAAGGGGCTAAGAACAGGCCAACGAGGGACGGGGACACAAGGTAAAGTAAAGGGTCAGGGGGCGGGTCCACGAAAACCCGAAAACTTCCCAAATCTTTCCGGCCAATGAGCCGAGCTCCTTCGCGCATGACTCCAAGCAGCTCGCTAGATACATCCCCGACGGAAGGAAGGAAGGAAGAGACAGGGAGAGGAGACTGTGACAGCAAAGAGAGAAATAAAGAGGGTTGGCTAGGCTCAGACGGGCGGAAAGCTCGAGGTTTCAGCACTCCAGAGATAATGCTCCGGCTCTTTCCACGCTTCGTCAGTCTTCATTTCAATGGATATCGTTTGGCCCCGTTTGGCCACCACGATGGGTGCGTGATCGCTACAAGTAGGACCTGTAGGATGTATTCAGGTGAAGCTCGCAGCATCTTCGAGGGGGTGCCCATCGCGGTGAAAGACATGGTCTCAGTTCGGGGTCATCCCTTCAGTGAGGGAACCGTTTGGCCAGCAGGCGATCGACACAACAAATGGGCGGAGGAGGACGACAACACAGTGCGCCTCTTCCGGGAAGCTGGTGCCATCATCTTAGGAACGACCGTGATGACCGAATTCGGAGTTACTCCACTCGGTTATTCAGTGCACTTCAAAGGGCCAGTGAATGCATATAACGGAAGCTACTACTGTGGGGGCAGCTCCTCCGGTTCTGCCGTTGCTGTGGCCATGGGCTTGGTGCCTGTGGCAGTGGGTATGGATGGCGGTGGTTCAATCCGGATTCCTGCCGCAATGGAGGGTGCAGTCGGCTTGGCTCCGACCTACGGCCGAGTACCAGACTCCAGCCCCGACACGCTCTTCGGCACCATGGTCAAAACAGGCCCCATCGCTGCAACAACACGCGATGCAGCATTGGCACATGCTGTGATGTCTCAGAGCGTCTCTAGCCATATCTTCACGCGCCTTTATGGGGAGCCTTTCGGTGTTCCTCCGGTGCATCTGGAAGGTTTCATGGACTTAAACCTGAAAGGCGTTCGCCTCGGGGTTTTCTGGGATCACTTCAACGATGCTGAACCACTGGTCGTCGAGGCCTGCAAAGCAGCTTTGGAGAGCCTGAAAGCTCTGGGTGCCGAGGTGGTACCCGTTGCCCTCCCCCACCTTAAAGCCTTGTCCCTGGCACATGGGCTCGACATTTCTGTGGAGTTTTCGACGTTTTTTGGTAACCTGCTGTACAATGGCCACAGCTTGGAGCCTGGGACTCGAATTCAGCTTGGTCTTGGCTACACAATTTCTGGGGTGGAGTTCAACTCCGCCAACATCTTAAGAGGCTGGGCTTTGAAGTACATGCACGAGGAGCTGTTCACCAAGCTGAATGTCCAGGCGATTGTGTCGCCAAGCATGGGCATCCTTCCTCCCAAGATGCCTGAAGATGTCACATCCGCTGGTGAGAGCAACACGCCTCTGATCATGCAGATGCTTGGCAAGTTTGCACAATCTTTTGGGTGCAGACTTGGGGTTGTGGGCCTCGGGAGACTTTGAGCCTTTAAGTTGGCGCCAAGGATGATGAAGTACATCTTCCTTGGAAATCTCCTGGGCCTTCCAGGCATCAGCGTGCCGGTGGGCTACGATGACAGCACAAAGCTCCCTGTTAGCATGCATCTGCACCTTGGCAAATCCAAATAAATCCAAGATCAGTGAACTAACTGCAGAGACGTGGTTGTGCTCGGGCAAGGGATGAAACTGCGTTGCATTAGTGCAGGATGGGCGCCCACTGGGAAGAAGCGGTTCTTCTGCGACTTTCGAATGCGCTTGAGACGCGCCACCTGCAGCGGAAGAAGCCCTCCGCCTTCTTTGATTTGCGGGCAGAGCTGTAGCACGAGGGAGTGTTTCGTTGCATCTCCTCCGATGGTGCTTGGTCATCGGGGTGATGGGTTGGATGAGCTTTTCCATCCATCACAAAGATTGTAAACGAGACCGCGCCGTGGCGCGTTTGATTGAACGTAGACTTTCTGCCAAGGAAAAGGGTCAAGAATCAGAAGTCAGAGAAGAAGCGTGCCGTGCTGCAGCATCGCCTGAGAGTCCGTGTTCGTTGGGGCTCTTCTCGACCCTACGGGGACCCGCAGGTGGCGTTCCTGCGGCGTGGACTTCTGCGAGGTGCCCTTAGCCAAGGCCTCAGCCTGGCACCCGAGCCGCCGAAGCGTCGCCGGAGCTTCCAAGCTCAGAGCTTTTGCTTCCACAGGGGATGTTTTGTTTAGGATGGCTGTAGTGTTATTCTTACGCTTGGTGGAGTGAGGTCGACGACCATCTCGACCTTGATGCCGTGCTGACTGCTCTGGGCGCCCGGGGTGTGCGAAGCTTGGAATCAGACAGCGAGCGAGACGGCGAGAGAGAGGAGAGACTTTTCCCCCAGACCTTCAACAGAAAGGCGAAGACGGGCCACCCAGCCAACATCTCCTTTGTTGCTCGAAACAGCTGCCCTGAAGATCCCCTGCAAGCACGTGTAGTCTTTGCAAATCTTGGAGTTTGCGCAGAACCCCATCATACCCCATCATCATGCCGAACATGGTCAGAGAAGTTCCCTCTCGGGCTGATGGAAATCACATGGACCCAAGCGTTACAAAGGATTCAAGGTTAGCAAGTACTTTTTTCCAAACTGACTGGGCTCGAGGACATGAAGCAATGCTCTGAAGTTCGGACTTACAAGTACCTTGGGAGGCGGGCTTCGTTCCACAGCCCCCTCACCGCCATCATGATCATGATGATGATGATCATCATCATCATCATCGTGATCGTCATCCGCATCAGCAACCCATGACACTCGAAAAAAAAAGAAAAATCGACAGCTGAAAAGCACTGCAAAAAGAGTGAAATAGCTGAATTCGCGGTACAGGTAGTAGAAACAGCATTTGCCGTGCATGCTATAACAGCATTGACCATGACGGACGGGTCAAAACAGTCCTGAGGTCCTGCAGCTGATGGTCGAAGGCGGCGCCGTGCTGCAGGGACAGCTGCTGCAACGAAACTTGGTACAGGCGCACAACTTCTGGGTCTTAAAATGTTTCAGGCAATTTCCAAGGGATACCAGTATTCTGCAGGAGCTCCGCGTTTACTTCGGTGCTACAATGCAGGGGCCTTGGCTGCCCTATGCGCTGGTTTGCCCGTTTAAATTTCTCGCCTTGCGCGGAAGGCTCGGCTCCACCGCGCAGGCGTGGGCACAGACCCCTCTGACCTCCACCATCAAGGAGGCGCGCATGGCGCCATGGTGCCTTCTTCCTTCCCAAATGGACTGTTGCTGCTGGGTAGCCCATTGTCAGGCACGTTTCTGGACATTGCGAGGCCTGCGCCAAGTGGGCACGGGGCCTGGCTGGCGCATGGAAGAGACTCTTAGTCTTAACGGTCGGATGCGGACGATGCAAGCAATGCAAGACTCTTCTTGCCAAGGCAATGATGTCTGCCTTGAGTACGAGCGGGTGGAAAACTCGAGCGCCTGAAGGCTCGCACGACAAAAGGTCCTGTGCACCGAGCCATGGGAATGTAATTTTCTAGGACATTGTGTACATGAGTTGTCAGCGTCCACAGAAACCATCTTGCTGCACCGTGCTGTCTCCGCACACGCTGAATTGCTAGAGTTAGAGCAGACTGAGCCGGTACTCACAAGCCGCAAACCCATCAGCACTGCATCCGACCCCCAGACCATTTGCATTGCATTTAGCCTGAGGCTCAGGCTTACAAAAGCAAACTTCAAGCCAGGGCTTTTGCTTCGCTTCATGACAAGGAAGCCCTGCGCACCACTCTAGCCATGGGTGGTGGGGATGGCCAGAGAGCGTTTTCTTCACCTCCAAGGCATCCTAATGAGGCTCTCTTTCGCCTGTCCCGCTGTGCAATCCCGTCCTGGTAGGTGCGCGGTTTCTGTGTGCCACTTGGGTGCTATGCGGCCGCTTTCTTCCTGATGCCCACGCAGGCTTCTGGCTGGCCTGCCCCTGAGTCAGAGAAATCCCTTCTGACGTCTCGGCAGTCTCTCTCGTCTTGCCGGCTCAGTTCGGCAAGCGCCGCCTCAACGTGGCTGCGGACATCTTCGCCGTGCTCAGCGGCTTCGTCTCCGGACTGCAAGCGCCGGAGGCCTCTACCGAGGCCGCTGCATCTCTGCAAGTGTCAGGCCCAAGAAAAGACCTCCCCTACCGCCTTGGTTCAGGAATGGTCACGACTCGGACGCCGGATGCTCCGGATTTTGCCGGCGTTTTGGCTGTCGATGCTATGGAGCTGCCTGGGTTGGGTGATTAGAGCGGAAAACGTAGCCAGAAGTTGCTTCAAGCCGACACCTGTGTCTATGTAGTTGGCCGGTGGCACGTTGCGTCCTTGTGTGTTCGTCACTTTTCAGTTTATTCACTCTGTATTTACGATGTTTCCGGCGTTTCGGCCACTTCGCATTCTGTGTTCTTTTCGGGAAGTTGTGAGTTTTTGCTTCTCTTCTTCTGGGAAGGGTGTTTCGGGTACTTCTGATTCTGCGGGATTTTGCAAGAGGTTGCGAATTGCTGCTTTTCTGCTTTTGGGGAGGGTGATGCAGGGTGTGATTAATGACTTCTGTGCCGAAGCGGCTGGCTCGCGGGCATAATATGTAAATGTAAACCTCTCTTGAGCCTCTGAGGCTTTAGGATGCTTTAGGGTTTACGGTTTATGGCTAAATCCTGCCTAAACCCCGTTCGGCTTGGTTGAAGACCCGTTCTTCTGCTGCCTCAGGCTTGTGGATGTTTTGCGGTTTAGGGCTTAAGTCCGACTCGAAGCTATACGGTGCGTTGCAGACAATGTCTGACTCTGAAGGCCGACATAAGCGCGAAAAGCAATACACTCCCAATCCCGCGTTCTCGCGGCAGGATTTCGGATCGAGGCTTTCAACTCTAATTGCAGTTTTTCGGTTTCAAACTTGGCCAGTAGTAGTTGGCGTAGTTTAGTCAACGCCGTTCTGTGGCTCTTTCTAATACACACGCATAGTATATTGCACAGGCCAGTGTTTTTGTGCCCTTAGAGTCCTAAAGGTGTATGGGCGCCAAGGCGCCACCAACAATGAAGCTGTGCGTTGCTAATGCCGCCTCTTCGACGACATTTGCCCACCTGCGCCTGCACATCATTTGCTTCAGAGTTTCTGTTCTTCCATCGCCTCCGTTTGGTTCCTTGCGTGGTAACCGTTTGGAGTGTCGTAGCCTGACAGCATGCGCGACACTCAATGCGCGAAGAAATCGACGCGGTCAACACCAACCAACTAGTTGTACCTCGACAGATGCCCATCCGAGAGAGATGTTATGTGTGAGTGAGCTGTGAAGGAGCCTCCTTTTCGTCCGACCATGGCCACCTTTCAAAGCCCTGCAGTGCGCACTGCTGGCAGAGATATGGGGCGAGGAGAGCACCTATGACTCAAACGCTTGCTCGCGACTGGTGACATGTAGCCTGCAGAAGAGAGTAACAGTGGAGGCTGACCTAGGACCTAGGAGCCTCATGGACGCCAACATAACGCCAGGAGGCAATCCGCTGTCCTGTTGGTGCTGCGTGGTTCCTCACGGCGCTCTAGCCTTAAGACCACGGTCAGCCATTCTGACAAAGTTTTGTTGACGATGCGGCATCAGGCTGGTCCCCTGCTGGACGATCTTCCCACTCGTGCCAGGGCCTTAGCGAAGCTGAGATGTGGCCCCCTTTGGGCGGCTCCAAGGTCCAGCGGTTTTCGCCCAAGCTCCAGCTTTGCGCTTTGCGCCGAAAGCTTAGAAATGAGCTCCAGCGCGACCTACATGACTCGCATGACATTGCAAGCCTCTTCATGACTTGGGCTACACAGCCTGCAGATGTTGGATTGCATATGATTGGAGACACCACGTGAAACCCCCTTTTTTTCCTTAAGGCTGCAAGCCTCTGGCTTGCCATCACCTGCCTGGGCCAGCAAATTCTCCCCAACCGCCTGTGTCTCAACTTAGCGTGACGGCATGCTTTTACAAGACAGGGTTCATATCGGAGCTGCTCGTCACGCTCAATCTTTGGAGTCGGATACCGGACGAGGAACATTATGTCGCTAGGTGTGAGGAGTTCTGAGATCACCAGCCCTACTTGCACAGTCCGCTGGGCCGGCGCACACTCGCATGTCTTTCCCAGGCCACTTCCTCCCGCTTGCGGCGCTGCCAGATTTCTGCCTTGGAGCAGCTGCAGCGCGCTGTGTGGAGGACTTGTAGTTGACTGCATGAGCCGGGTTGTGGATGTTCTGTGTTACCGCTTAGCCGCTTAGGAGGCACCGGACGAAGCCTTGGGGGAGAAAGTGTCGCACTTGGCACCAGACCCTTGGGAGTCCAGCCGACTGCATTTTGCTGACGTGGCCAAGCAACTTGCACAGAGTGACTAATGCAGAACTCGTCAACCTGCTGTGCTTGTCCGCAGCACCGATGGTTTCAGTCGCTGGGCACCCTGTCCCGAGTTGACAGGCTAGTTGTTGGATGGGTTATGCTTCAACTTCAAACTCCGAAGATGTCTTCCAGGGCAACGCGAGCTAGCCAGCACGATGTGTGAAAGTTTTATGATAAGCATCCACCGTAAAACGTGTTCCTATCTCAGGCACATCTCGTAGTCAGAGCCTAGTCTCCGGGACCTGCCACTGTGACCTAAGCCGCCATTTGCGACCGTGCAAAGTTTTTCACGACGCACGTCGGCATCGCACATCGGAGCGCTTCCATTGTTTTTGGTGGCTGCTCCGTGTCTGCCCTGATGTCGGCTTCTGATCCATATGATGTGCGGGGCTTACCGAAGAAAGCCTGGGCCAAGAATATCCAAGCATCGATTGAAGCTACGGGAGTCTGGAGTGTACTCACGACCATGAGGCGACTTTTCGCCGGCCTACGCCAACCGAGCCAAGGTTGTGAGCTGAGCTTTTGCTTGTGGGATAATCCGTAAGTATTCAGGTAGGGTATATGCAGTATAGGAGTGTAGGCTGAATGCTGCCTCCAAACCCCATCCAGTAGGCTTCCTAAACGCGTTTTCCTGCAGGCAGGAGCGGGTGCGGCTCTTACCGGGAAAGGGGGCAGGACAGTTGCACTCGTCCTGGAAGCACACACTGCAACTGTGCCCTCCGTGATTGCTCTCTTTTCTCTCCCTCTTTCTGAGGCGGCCTCAGTGCTGCTGGACTTGGTGTCCGTGTCTCCTCATCCATCGTCGGAACCTCCCGATCGCCAGGCGAAGTTCAGTCTTTTGTGTGCTGCCGCGCCGCCGTGCCTGCAGATGCCTGCAGATGCCTGCAGATTCTTCGGAGGTGCTTCCACCACCGCCACCTTCATCGCAGTTCAGTGGTGGTGGCATGACGGTCCCTTCTGTGGGATCCGCCGCACACGAACTGAGGTTCCGGCTGGTCTTCTTGCCGTCTGCCTCTGCCCCTTAAAGCTGCCGAGGGTAAACTGCAAAGTCGTCGGCTCACAGGCGCTGCAAGCCCTGCGCCTTCTTCTGGAAATGTGATGGCTGCCAGAGCGGACAGGCAGGCTACTCATCATGCGTACTGGGTGTTACGTCGGCTTCGACTTGAGCACTTGCCTAACCGTTGACACGGTTTGACCCTGTTCAGACTGGCAGCATTGCAGGCATGCCTGTTTTGCCATTTGTGCCCGCCTGACGAAAAGAAGCGCCGGAAGAAGGCCGGGGTTCGTCAGGGGTTCAGGATCAAGCCATCAACAGGACAAGAACACCGCTGTTGGTGTGCACGGATGGGTTGCCAGGAGCGCCGCTTCGTGGCTTCAATGGGTACGACTCGGCAGTATGAGGCGCAGGTTGGCCGTGTACGACAGTGTGGTATCGTGAGTCTTTACTCGTACTGGCAAGCCTGTTCGGAGGCATCGCCAACCCGTCTGCAACGTTCGGTACGGAAGGTGCCCGAAGCAGCGCCGATGAAAGTGCAGGCAATGTTCGGGCTGTCGTCACATGACACCTTGGCTTCGCTGTGAACTGGGAGCAGTTGTTGCAGGTCGATCGTGTGAACCATGTCCCGTACCTGCCCGAAGAGCAGATTTTGCTGCCCGAGGAACGGGTTACGGTTACGGTTACGATTCCCTTGAGATGTGCCCTGCCCAAGCCCTGCCCAACCTTCCGCTGTCCAGGAACCGCATCAGCTGCATGACGAGGCCACCAGAAGAAAGCTATGTTCGCTACAGTTGACATTTCGTCGCCATGCAGATCTCCTCAGCGCGTGTCGTTTGATTGCTGCGGCGCTGCCAAGATATCAGAAATTGCGGCTCCGTCGCAGGGGAAGTTTATCCGATTTCCTGTCCATTCCTGGCACAGGTTCCCACCCAATACTCGGAGTACCAAGACTACGACTACGACTGTTTGCCAGGCATCGTCGCGCCGCGACCCCGGTGAGATCCGGACCGATACGTCCCTCAGTGCTTCGAACTTGGATCTGTAAGGCCGGAGCTACGTGATGTGGAAGCGCAGATCATTCAAAGAGCCCTGATGGAGCAGGAGGCTCGCAAACAGATCCCAAGTCGGAGCTAGGGCCAGGACTGCCACAGCTCGAGCTCCCAGCACAAGACTTGCTTCCAGCTCCGAAATGGCAGGTGGCAGAGGTGGAAGCCGAATGGGGCTATCGACGCTTCGCCTGCAACCAGTGAGATGCTATTGACAACCACATGTGACCACAGCCCGAGCACCCCGTGAACGGCGAACGGGCCATCCAAGTCCTTCCGAGCCTCCATCAGGGCTTTTTTGTCAGTCTCTGCCGTTTGAGCTGGCTGCCCAGGTCCACCACCTTCCAATGGTCGTGTGCGCCTGGAATTGGACAAGGCACCCTGCGATTTTAGAGCTTTTTTGCTGCCTGCCTCTGCTGTACTAGCTCAGCCACCTACATTATGCTTACCTGCTCCTGCACGGCACGCAGGTACTTCCCACCTACAGCTATTCGGGAGTGCCTTGTCCGGCAGAGGACTCGTCCGCAGCATGAAGATCAGAGAACGATCGGAGGACAATTTGTGTTGGAGACGTTGCCTGCAATTTATGCGATGACGGTCCACGCGAGGTGTACTCCGACGACGATGACGACCTCGATCTGAACGCCTTGACTGCCTCGCCCAGCGCTGGCCCCTTTGAAGATGAAGACCAAGGCACGTTACCGGGATTCCTTTAGACTTTGAGCTCCCTCTGGTTTTCTCCTCCATCCCTCCATGGCTGCTGCATGGGTTGGCGTTACTGAGAAGCCGAAAGTGGTTCCTGGGAGATACTGACCTGGGGGCAGAGCTTCCAACGCTTCTGGCACCGAGCGACACTCTGCCGAGAAGCCTGCCTGCACTGGTTTTGGCGGCGAGGAGTCCAGATGTCGTCAAGTTATGCAACGGCACCCTCGTAATCCAAGGTGATGGAGTGGGAAGTGACGAAGACAAAAACAACCAAGACAGTTTCTTCTCCTTCGATCCGTTGTCGTCTCTTCGAAACGCAGGTCTCTGAGTCGCTTTCATGTGGATACTCCTGGCACGCCCGACAGGTGCCAGGCTGCACTATGCTGCACTCATTTCAAGCCAAGAGACCTCTTCACGAGAGCCATGCGCTACTCTGGCGTGCCTGCGAGGAGCACTAGACTGGAATTCCAAGGGAAGATCCCAGCAAGTGCAGCAAAAACCAAGCTGCCACATCTGCCAAGCTGCCAGGATAACTCAGCCGTTTTAGGTGTTGAGGCATGGCGATGAACAGATGTGTGCCCCGTGCATGTGATTTGGATGTTGTAGCACTGTCTGTACTCTGTACTTCATATTCGGGCTTGGGCTTGGCCAAAGAGTGGCAACTTCTCTGGCCATCGTGGTGCTCCCGGTGCCCCGGCCGTTGGCTGAGAAGCGCCATACGCACTTTTTTCGCTTCACCTGGCACGGGCATCTCTCAAAGAAATGAGAGCCTCAGAGCATCATGACGGGCCTTTGTGGTCCCCAAAGTAGATGGTCCACACTCTTGCCGTCAGGACTGCCCCAGCCCAAAGATGGAAAGTCTGGGGCTAGGAAGTGTTCGATTGTTCAAAGCAACAGGTCTTGGTACAGTTTCAGCAGCTTCGCAGCACCTGGTCTCTGGGTCGTACATCTTCGTAACGTGCCTCCTTCTATTCCACTAACAGTCCTCCGCGAAAGAAACGCTGCAGGAGCTTTGCACGCCCTGTGATGTCGCTCGTGCGGTAGACGTAGACGTTCGGAAGCCTACAGTGGAAAACCGTCTTCCTCATATGCTGCGGCGCCTAGTCTACCTCTGAGCCAAAGTGCATCGCACCTTTCCAAGTAGGGCTCTGTGAACCCTGCCACAGCCTGCTCAGAGTACTCTGATAGACATGGTGGGGCTCTGCTGGCAAGGTTACCAGTGCTCTATGACCATCGGCCGTCGAAGGCCGCTAGCAAGTCGCCATGTTGCGATTGCGCTCACTGATTTTAAGGATCACCTGTAGGACAGAAACAACCCGACCAACAGTGCGACTGGACAAAGCCTTGACCCAGAATAGCTGATTCCGCATGTCCCCCCATCGCCAACATCCCCAAGATCCCGCAGCAAGATCCCCTGCAACCTGATGTGACCTGTCATTGCACGTACTCGATTTTCGAAAGCCACACGTGAGGCCTGGGCCAGGGTTCGAGAGTTTAGTTTGTGGATGGGATAGGGGATAGCACTGCCAAGGCTCCACCTTTGCTGCCCGACTCCTGCCTGGCTTTCGGGGTAGGCATCTTGAATACCAGCGCCAACGCGAAGCCATGCCAAAGATGCACAGGGCTCCCGCAAAGTCGTGAATCGAGTGGTTTGGCTGCCAAGTTGAGCTTGGATGTACGTCGAGTCAGCTCAACACCCCCCGCAACAAAGAGTCTGGTGTCTGCCGTGCAAAGTCGTGCCAAGACGCAAAGCTGCATCCAACAGATGGCAGCCTCGCCACTTCTATCGCTCCTGCAAAGTCGTGCACAGGAGCCTCACTTGAGCCGCTGGTGAAAACAAAGCCGATGTAAGCCGGGCATCGCTGACTAGTACGAGTAGCAGGCTGTTGAGCTGTACTTACGCTGCGTGCTTTAAATGAGCAATGCCTCCGGTGAGGTAGAAGCAGGGCCGGATTCCACTGGCCTCACGCTTGAAAGGGAGTGGGTTGTGGATGCAGGTAGTCCTACTGTCATGCAGCGATCGTGACTTCGAGAGGGAGAACCTACTGAGGCCGCATACCATGGGGCCTGCTCGCTGATGCCTGTGCTGTCGGAGTCTTGGCACTGCCACCAAGATCACCAGGTTGTTGTTTGAGAACTTACGCACGCATGCTCGAGAGCTTTATATGCTTTAGGGCCACCTCAGCCTATTCTCTCTCGAGCCGCTCAAGGCTCCAGCTTCTGCTTCAGCAGTCCGTCCATTCAGGCCATCATCGTGAGCCTCGTGACCTTCGTCCCTGCTAGCTTTAGGCACGGTGTGCAGCGCCAAGGGACAATCGGGGACTGCCTTCAGCTTGCTGTGACAGCGATCAATGGGTAACAGGAATGCCTGGGATGAAGCTGAGCTCTTCCAGGAGGACGGCAATGAGTGCGATCGGAAGGGTCAACCATTGTCAACCACGGCCATGGTTGCAGCCATCTGCTCTGCCGTGACAGTGAGGCACTTGCGACATGTCACACGGAGGCCTCGAGCTTTGACCATTTCTTGGCGCCCTTGATCGCCAGCTTCCTCCTTTGCTCCTCGCAAGGCACAGCAGCTTGGCTGCGTACAGGGAAAGAATCCCCATGCCAGACGTCGGACGTGACAGGTGGGGGCAAGGGTGCTGTTCAGACAGTGCTCAAGCATCAGTCTATGGCAGTGGCCCCGGTGGCCTCGGTGGCCTCGGCACTGAAAACCTTGAGCTGAGGCGAGCCTGGGCCACTACAGTCTGTACGTCTATCTCTTCCAGGAGCCGCTCTTCAGGCAGCGAGATGGATGACGGCAAGCATGCCTTTAAACGATGACTGTGACCCCCCAAGATATGGGACGTATCATCTTTGCGGTCGCGTTGCGTCGGGGTGTCGTCAGGAACCTCGTTTCCCTACCACCAGATCATCGTTTCACCACCACAGTCATCACCACCAACAGCAGCAGCATCATCATGATTATCATTGTCAGATTCAGACTCAGAACCATCGTCATCATGGCGTGAAGAGATAATCTTGACATATCGTGCCAGATGACGACCTAGCGCAGGTTGCCGAATGTAGAATAAGCGGTGATAATGGCAGAAGGAGGCATGAGAATCACCTTGCTAAGGCTAAGTGTGGCTTGCAGGTCTATCGAAGCCTTCGTTCCCGACCTTGAGGATTCCGCCGAAGGGTTTGCTGCAAGCTCAGCAGATCTCTCATGATTTCTGAACACGCCATAACACTCGTAAGAGTCGTACTCTCTGCATTTCTGTGCCAGTCCAGGTCTTCTTTGTGCTATGCCTTTGGCTGATCTCTGGCCTGTACGCCGAAAAGGCTGCTTTCCGAGCTTCGGAAGTCTGCGACAGCGACGAGACAAATCTGCATGCGACACCCAGAAGACTGAAGATTAGAGCTGATATCTAGAAGCTCCAAGGTCGAACCGATGCTGCTAAAGCGGCCAAGCTGCATGACAGAAACCCATCGGTGTCCGAGATGCTTGAGATTCCTTCAGCCTCTAAACTCGACCAAACCTGGGGAGCTTTTTGTAAAGCGCACTGCATCACCAAGGATCTCGGTGAGCTCTGCATCGAGTGACAGCGAACCCACCGAAAGTACATCCTGACTTTGGCCTCGCTAACAAAAAGGGAAAAGGGCGGGGGCGTTTCGGTGGCGCGGGGCCTGACGAGGGACGTGTAAGCCAGCCCTGAGCCCTGAACGCACGGTTTAGCAAACGTTGAGGCACCACGGTGCACGGCTTTCCTTTTGCGTTGGAGCTCTCTTCCCAAGTTTCTGAGATGGTCAATGCAAGCACTGCCAAGCACTATTTCTCGATCTGCTGAAAGATTTGTCTGCATCTCCTAACTCTGGTCTATTCTTCTCAGACTTGTGGTGCGAGCCGCTTGGTGACTTGCGAAATGCGAGCAAGTTCTTTCAAGTCTTAGCATGCGAAAGTATTCGCAATCGTGCATGAGCACGACTGTTGCAGAGCCCTATGCATCATTGGATCCGAAGTAGCGAAAGTTCATGCTGAGCCCGCACAAGTAGAAACCAACATATTGCACGAACCGCACACACGCACATATCAAGCGTATTTCGTGGTCTGCTACTGTAGTGTGCTGGATCCGATATGCAGAATCGTGCAGACTCCTCAGTCGCAAATTTGTCGTTGTGTTGGTGGGACGGTGCTTTCGTGACCGGAAGAGCGTGCACATTTCAAGCCAGCTGCCCGTAACAGGCTTTTGTGGCCCTCCAGCGAGGTCTGCTGAGTATTGTCCGTCACATGTGCAAAGTCGGGTTGCTGGGCAAGTTCCGATTCTTTGACAGCCATCACCGGACCGGCACATCTATCCCGCGCCCGAGAACTTGCCTACAGAACACCGGCACCGCCAGGGCATCGCAGCTCTTCGACGATCGACACAAGTATCCGTTTCGTCCTTGTGCTGCACCGGAATGCCTTTGGCAGCCAGCCCACTTGCTGGCAGTGGTGGTAGAAGGCACCACCGCACTCCCAAGTCACCCTGACGACGCAGGGTGCCAGTAGAAAGTAGAAATCATGTGATCTCTGGTTCCCGGCGTCTTGCCTGCATGAACTGTCCGAACGGCCTGGTACCGTCTCGACGATCACGATCTAGCACTGCAGCAGCCGAGTGGCATGCGGCAGGTGTTCGATTTCAAGAGTGGCAATGTCCGCTCCGGCGATCGGCACCGCTTGGACCTGGTGGTCAATGAAGCGACGTCTGTTGGCGGGGGCCTTAGCTGGAAGTTCCTGCTCACATCGCGCCTGCTCCTCCTCACACCACCTTCCGTCTGCACTCACCGGCAGAGTTTTTGTGCTGCCGTTGCTGCCATTCTTCGGCGGCTAATCCTGCCTCAAGCCACTACGGCTGATCAACCCACGGCCCGTGCCCCAAGCCTAGACACCGCATTGGGGCGGGACCACAAGTCTCACTGACGGACAGGCGCGCCGGTCACTGCGGACGACCGCCTCGACGACGCGCTTCCACACACTGCCACACTGGCACGGGCACGTGCGGCACGTCAGGCTCCCGACACCGTCACCACTTCCATTGAGACACGGTCGAGCGTCGCCGCCTTGGCAAAACTCGGGTGCACAATCGTGCTGGAGGGCAAGCTCCCCATGGCCTCGCCGAGCTTGGGGCTGGTGTGTGGCGTGGCCACGCAGACGATTCCGAGCGTGGGTTCATCGCATTGGCCACTCCGGCATCGGCTTCATGTCACATCGACGCGCCTGCTTGACGAGGCACACTGCCTGAGCTCCCCATGCTGCCCGACCTCCAGTGCACTTGGCTGCTTTTGGACATGTGCACTTCGCCCATGCCGACCACCTGCTGCACACCCTCCGGCACGACATCTCTCTACATGCTATGCGCGTGGCCACGACGGTGCCGTCTGGCACTGCCTGCCCACGCTGCTCGGCGAAGAGGAGCGAAGAGGACGATGCGAACCCGAGGTCGCTGCAACACGCCACCTCGCATTGATACCGGCTCATCAGGGAGGACTCGGCTTGCAGCGGGTGCGCGCTCGATGATGGCAAGGCCGCTTTTTTTGGCACGACGTGCACCACGGCCGGTACTCTTCGGACAAAGCGAGTTGCCTGAATCTGGCGAGCAGAGCCAGGGCTGGCAGCTATGAGTGTAAGTGGAAGGTCTTGGAACCTCTGAAACAAGGTAACTCATTTTCCTGTGAGTGTTGATGTGAAAATATCAGAACGGAGATTGTGGAGCAGGGAGTTTCCTGTGAGCTGGGCCGCAATTCAAAGATTTTTCTGAGCGGGGCCCGCCTGGCGACTCCCACGTCTCCCACCGGCGGGTGCCGACTTTCAAACCCGCTCACTGCCCAGCCCACAAGTCTTGTCATAGCTGCGTTCGCACAATTCTTGCAGCCCTTCTCACTGGCCCAGCCTAGGTCGTGAGACTTGTGTGAGCGGGGCTGAAAGCGGGGGCCGGCTCACACAATTTTCACGGCCCCGCTAACAGAGTTTTCACAGCCTCGCTCACAGGCCCGAATCCACGATTTCACTGGGTTTTTACAGGAGTCGAGCCCCAGCTCTTGTGAGCGCCATGAGATTTGTGTGAGCCGGGCCCACCGTCACACCCCGTTCTCAGAATTCTTACAGCTCATTTCACATAATTTTGGCAGCTCGCTCACAGGCCGGCCCCGTTCGCAGATTTTCGCAAATACTGCTCAAAGACTTCTCACAGACCTGTCCCAACTCACAGGTGCCGCTCACACAATCCATAATGGAAAATTCGTTTGGGAATCTAAGGAAAATGCATTCCATATATCCCTGAGTTTGCAGGGCATTGCAACTTTGGAGTGCTTTGAATTGTTTTTTTTTTGCAACCTCGTGCCCAGGCCATGCTGCTTTTGCAGTCCGGGCCGCACGCTGCCTCCTCAAGATTCGCCCAAAGGCTTGGCGACGACTCGGGCGGATGCAGAAAAAATGGATGCAGGACGTGGATGCAGAAAGGGGGCCCATTTTGGACAGGACCCCTTCAAAATGGACGCGAGCGCCCATTCTGGGTCCTGTCCTCTGCCATTACCCGGTCTGATTGGTATTCGCAATTTAGATGCTTTGGATAGTGGAAATTTACTACTCGTGCACCAGCATCTCCATTTTTGCGAGGTCGTGTAACTCGCCGCGAATTCCAGCTTTCGTGCGCACGACGCACTTAAAGAAACGTAGAAGGCTTGTTTTGACCCGGAGAAGCTGTGGAGTCGCGTGACAAAGTCTTGTGGCCCGTCGTGATGGGCATGCCCCGCGCGTGGTACAACGGGAGGCGGGTCGGGCCAGCTGGCTCAACGCCCAGGGCCCTGCCGCCAACAGCGTTCTGCACCGCATGCCCCACCCTGCGCATCCAGGCCGTGGAAGCGGCTGGGCCGGTTTCGCGCGGAGCGCCGGGACGCGGACGAGCTGTCGAACAAGCGCCTGCGAGTCGGCGTTCCAGCGCTCCCCGACCTCCACAGCTAGGACGAAGAGGCGTTGGCCGCCCCCGCACTGCAACTCCGGGTGCGTTGCGCGCTTGCGGCCCTCGGCCATGCGCAAGGAGATCGCACGGGGCTGGTGCTTTGGCGTGCGGGGCTGGCAGCCCAGAGTTCGTCCGAGCCTGGGCCGACGAGCGGATGTAAAAGAAATAGCAGCTGTTTTGAAATTCCTGGCTGCAGTACGTTGAGAAATGTCAGTCGGTTTGCCCCCGGACTGCCGCAAGAGCTGTTCGGCGACGATTTCGCCGCAACAAAGCTCGAATTGCACCACACTTGTGTCCTAATCCGTCCATACCTCAAGACGAACAGAATGCTTGTGTAGCGGAGTGGCGTGACCAGACCATTTTATGCGTGCCGGCTCTCAAGGGGCTGACGCCTTTAGTCAACGGCACTTGGCACGTGTCCAGCGTCGCATCCGGCGCATTCGTGAGCAACAGCCGGTGATGCCGGTGCACGTCAACACCGGACAGTCTTTCACGTTGCCCGAGCTTGAGCAAACATTGCACCACTGTTCCACAAACAAGGCACCGGGTGTCGATAACATTCCGTATGAGGCATTCTGCGTCGATCTGGCCTGGTGGCGGCATGCCATCCTTCAATTTCTTGACTTGTGCCGAAATCTCTGCAGCATTCCTTCTGTATGGAAGCACGGAATTGTTGTCCCACTGCCTAAAGCCGCCGCCTCCGCTGATCGTGATGGTTTTCGTCCCATCACTCTGACATGTTATTTTGCAAAAATCCGCGAACGACTTGTTTTAAATCGGATCCAGCCGGATGTTGACCCTTTGTTTGATGAAGCCCAAGCAGGATTTCGTTTTGGAGCTGATGTGCAAGTCTATGCCTTACTTGAATCTCTTCGTGTCCGACAAAATGCCACCACATTCTGTGCTTTCCTTGACACACGCAAAGTTTTTGACGTTGCGGGGAAAGATGGGGCACTGCTGCGCTTGCACCGTACCGGAGTTCAAGGTGGGTTATGGCACTTGATAGATGACTTTATTTCGGATCGCACTGCATCAGCGCGAATTCAATCAACTATGTCACCTGATTGGGATGTTGAGCATGGTATTGGTCAGGGTGCTGTCTTAAGTGGTTTCTTGTTTAACATTTTGATCAATGGTTCAGCAGCAGCCATTAAACGCGCTTGCAACGGTGCGACTTGCGCAGCAGGAAATATAGCGCCAACAATTTAACCGTTCAAGTTTTGCTTTATGCCGATGACATCGTAATCTTGAGCAACTGCCCTCACGATCTGCAACGAGCGTTGGATGCAGCAGATGCGTGGGCCAAATCATGGCGTTTCAATGTTGCTGTTGGTGCACAGAAAACTGCCGTCATACGTTTCGGTCCCAGCCCTCGGCGTGGTGCCAGGATGCACACCTGGGTAGCCAAAACGTGCCGCTGGTGCAAACCTACACCTACCTAGGGGTTACTTTGCAACAAAATTTAGGGTGGAAGAA